TCTACCAGGTATATAATGTGATTTTCGTTAATAACCCCTTTCGTTTGGAGCAGGAGCGCAACACTCGGAGCATCCATCTGGTGAATCACAGGAATTCGTTCCTTCGAGACAATTCTTGAACACAGAACTACTTATCCAAAGAATCACCTCGACATTGATCAACCAACCCTCCTCTACTACATTCTGCGCGACAGTCTCCAGTGAAAACACGAGGTGGATCAAAACGCACTTTCCCCTTTCTCCTCTTTCTACAGGGGTGAAAAACTCACCGGATCAATTCGGTGAATCACAGGAATCCATCCCTTCGGGACAACTCTTGAGCACAACTACTTATCCAAAGAATCGCCCCAACATTGTTCATTCATTCCCCCTCTACCACATTCTGCGCGACAGTCTCCAGTGGAAACACAAAGTAGATCCAATCGCAGTTTTCCCTTTATCCTCTTTCTACAGGAACGCAAAATTCGGAGCATAAATCCGGTGAATCACAGGAATCCTTCCCTTCGGGAAAACTCTTGAGCACAACTGCTTATCCAAACAATCGCCCCAACATTGTTCACCCATTCCTCCTCTACCACATTCTGCGCGACAGTCTCCAGCAAAAACACAAAGTGGATCAAATCGCAGTTTCCCCTGTCTACTCTTTCAACAAGAGCGAAAAATGCTCGGCACCTATCCGAAGATTCAAAGGAGTCCCTTCCTGGGGGGCGACAGTCGCCACCGACAAGGTCGTTCCTGGTGTCCCTTACGATCCCTGGCCGTTCCAGGGCAGACCCAAGGTGGGGTATAAAGAGCAAAAACACCTAGTCGCAATTGGCACCTAGGAGATCTAGTATCCAGCGTGCATTATTACGCATGAGGGCCCCCGGGGGGACCGGGGCGGGGGCAGGGGCAGCGGCGGGTAGTAGGTGTAGGCTTACTTTGGACTGTGGTGTGGGATTACCGTACTTATATTCAAGTCTAATATTAAGTTACCATTTTGCTTTACGGCAAGTGAACAGGCTGCCAGCATATAGGAAGCCATCCGAGCGCTCCTGGGACAGTCTGGCTTGCTCGTCCGGACCCACCTACGTAACAGGCGACAACCTCGCTGTCCCCCTTGTCGTCGACGTTAACGAGCCGACGAGTACCTGTTCGAACTTCGTCCCGGTCGCCACGAGGCTCCTGCCGGACTTTGCCATAGGTTCCTCTCTGGAAGTGCGCCGAGCATCGCCCCGAAGGGCCCAGGAAGGGTAAGTCGAGTAGTTTCAAAGTCAAACATTAAGGTCCTTCCTCGTATCTCACTTTTAGCGTTAAAATACGTATTTTAGAGCACCGTTAAAAGCGACCCTACTCATATCTCGTTTTTAAACCACTTTTGTAGACAATCCTTTAGGTGAAATGAAACCCCCTTCAAATCAGTCGATTCGAATACAACGCTTTTTTTTTAAGGGTATTAGACCAAACTGTCCGAAACTTTGATACATCACTCCTGATCATCTAAGAATTGTCCTGACACATTGAAAATTTGGATTTTTTAAAAACATTGTTTAACTCAGCCCAGACCTGAAGCAAAATGGCGTCGAGCTCTCATATTTCGATCGATATACAATTATCGGAGGCTCTGATATGAGAATCGAAAGGGTCAGGACAGTTTTACGATAATTTAGAACACTCTGGTAATCCATAAACTCGCATTTGAACGGGATAAAGGCAAAAAAAGTGTTGTATGCGCTTCTATGCTAAAACGATGGGAATACGAGATTTCGGAGTGAAAATTTAATTGACCTGAAAATCACAGATGGCGCAGGGGGTCCCTCTGCAATCAATTAGGGCTCCGGAAAGCATGAATCCAGAGGATTTCTGGTTTTACTTCGATTTCTTTATAATTATTGTACAAAAACGACAGGTGGAGTATGCTATTTGGTACAATACTCAATATAATTCGACACAGCTGTCGATAGAAAAAAGAACGTCGGCAACGTAGGCATTTAGAAAAATCATCTTTATCGACGTCGATCAAGTTCCTCGACGTGTTTCACTTCACCTTAATCACCAGTTAATCTTTCCAGGAGGTATCTTTCCAGATTTTCTCCCTGCCAAGTAAATCAAGCTAAAGAGGAGTCACTGTTCTAAATTTACATTTAACCTACTTATAAAAAAAACAGCTGTTAATCGAATTTTCTCAGGAATTTGGCTACAGCATAAGACGGCATGAGCACTGACTTCTGTGCGTGCTGGGGTACGCATTCGACCTCCTAGCACCATTTGAAATCAGTACTTTTCCTCTTAAAGTCCTCCCAGTAAGCCGAGTTCCAAATTGGGAAAAAAATTGAAATAAGGAAAGAAAAAAGAATTAATTTAAATTATGATAGCCGAAGCATGTGACAAATAATAGAAAAGCCTTGTTCGAGCAGTTACTTAGAGGATGACCACTTGGCAAAAGACAAAATCCAAGGATTAAACAGAAAGGGCGTTATTTTCAAACAGGTAAGTGCCCAGCACGATTACACCAGATACTATCTCTAAGTTTAAATTTCCTTGGATCAAATTCGAAATAAAATTCTCATCAGGCAAGCTTAGTTTAATGTTCAGATATTTTAAGGTTCTTGCCATTTTTCAAGGTGGAGGCGAAGAAACGTTAAGACATCCCAAACGTAAAAATCTGGTCAACGAGAGCAATTTATTGACCATTCATTTAGTAGTAAATGCATTTATTGGGCAAAATCTCGTAAAGAGAGCGTTTTAATTGTCTTGAAATCAAACATCTTCAACAAATGATTATTTTGTTTATTAGGAAGTGGTTTCAAAGATGAGATGGGAGATTGCTTATGGGCAGGGTGATCGCGTTCTGTGCTACTCTTGGTGGAGAATACAAACGGCTAACGAATTTGCCCCCAACGGCGAGCCAACTCAGGGATCCAACTCATCTCTGCTCTCAACTCATTTCTCAGCGCTCCATTGTGGAATTTTACCTTATCGCAGCGCTGAGGAGAAATAAATTCAGATTTCGCCTCCAGTGATGATTTCAAGGAATTCTCAGAGAGTAGCACAGGGAATCCTTGCCTTGGATTTTACATCGAGCTCCTAGAAGATGGCCAGATACTCTTCGAGATCTCAAGCTGAAGAAACGAGAGAAGAAGCTGACGACAAGATTGGACAATTTGTTAATATTCTTTTAAACTAGCTCGAGAACTTATGTACTTGCGCTACATGTGTAATAAACTGTAAAATATTAGTATAATAACGCAAGTTATTGAATAATAATAATGAGTATGTTTAATTATACGAGCCTGTCTAGCGGACCCTCTAATCGCCTATTCCTGGTTCTTGAAAATCACTCGTCGACCTAAGTTAATTGTTAATTTTCTTGCGGTCGGAGAAAACTTAGAAAAATTGCGATTAGTCGTGCGACGACGTGGGAAGGGGTTTGTATGCCACCTCCTCGGTTGTCCTATGTTTCTGTTAAAAGTCGAAAATTACGACTTCTACAATTTTTGCCCGGGAGAAACTCCGTGTCACCTCCTTGGTTGTCCTATGTTCCTGTTAGAAGTCGATAATTTCGACTTCTAAAATTTTTGCCTGGGAGACTTTCGTTGCCCCTTCTTGGTTTTTCTTTTGTTCTTTTTAAAATGGGCTGATTTGGACCCGTATCATTTTTTCCTCGGGGAGTTTGGTGCCACGTTTTCTGTTCTCCTGTTTTCGTGTTCGACCTTTTGGGCTTTTAACCGGGATCTTGGGGTACTGGGGGGGTTGGCCGTGGTTTTTCCCGGGCAAAAATTTTAGGGGTCGTAATTTTCGCCTTTTAACAGGAACTTAGGACAACTGAGGAGGTGGCACGGAGTTTCTCCCGGGCAACAATTTTAGAAGTCGTAATTTTCGACTTTTAACAGGATCGTAGGAGAACCTAGGAGGTGGCATACAAACCCCTTCCCACGTCGTCCGCACGACTAATCGCAATTTTTCTAAGTTTTCTCCGACCGCAAGAAAATTAACAATTAACTTAGGCCTACGAGTGATTTTCAAGAACCAGGAATAGGCGATTAGAGGGTCCGCTAGACAGGCTCGTCTAATTAATCATACTCATTGTTATTATTCAATAACTTGCTTTATTATACTAATATTTTACAGTTTATTACACAAGTAGCGCAAGTACATAAGTTCTCGAGCTCGTTTAAAAGAATATTAACAAATTGTCCAGTCTTGTCATCAGTTTCTTCTCTCGGTCTTCAGCTTGAGATCTCGAAGAGTATCCGGTCATCTCCTGGGAGCTCGATGTAAAATCCAAGGCAAGTATTCCCTCTGCTGCTCTCTGATAATTCCTTGAAATTCTCACTGGAGGCGAAATCTGCATTTATTTCTCTATATTCGAACGCTGAGAGATAAGTTGGAAGCAGAGATGAGTTGGATCCCTGAGTTGGACCGCAATGGGAGTCAAGTGCGTTAGCCGCCTGCATTCTCCGTAGAGGGCAGCATAGAATGCGATCACGGGACCCTGCCCGTGAGCAATTTTCCAACCCACCTCTGGTAGATTTGATCTAAATATCAAGACGTTAGGGTTTAGACGTTTCCTTGCGAAACCTAGAAGAAGGCGGAAGAAACCAATTTCATTGGTAAAGTACTTACTACAAATAGTCACTTGCAACGCTTAAAAAAGCCATCTCGAAAATTTCCTTTTCCGCCATTTTCACTTTTTAGATGATACCTTGACCTGGTGGAAATCACAATATGAATACAAATCGGTACGTGAAATACTTCTAACGTGAAAAAGTTAAAAAAGAAGAGCTAATTGAGAAACTCAGACCTCGTCATTACCTGCGATGTTTAGCCTGGCTCCTCAAACTGGACAATGAATGTCGTTTACTGAACCTCTTGAATGAGTAATGTCAACTTCGGCCGTGTCATCGAGATTGGACGATTTTTCTGCTTTTTTTAAGCTATGAACGAAACCGATCGGTATTACAGTCCGAAAGAATTAAAACCTCAGAATGAACGTCAGTACATGGAGCATACAACTCGAGTAGCAGCGATACGAACTCTCGTTTATTTGCGTAATTGTGCAATATCATCGCTCATAGATTACTCTAGTATTTAACTATATAAACTCTCCGTTACAACTAATTACAATATATATATGTATAACTTGCAGGTGTTGCGAGGAAGTAGAAATGTAGTAATAAATAACCGCCCATCTCCGCGTGACTTGAACTACGGTAGTGACTGTAGAAACGGCGTACACGTCAAGGTAGAACTATTTACAACGTCGAGAGCCCATTGGGAGATTCGTCCTAACGTCAGGAGCTCGCAAGTGGTTGAGCCCCAGAGGAACGTCTTCAGGGCGAGCGACTCCTCCTCTCAAGACGAGGAAGGCCAAAATAAATATCAAATCAATGCATGTACGTAACACTCCTAAATTAGCGCACCAGTATGGGAACGAAGGAAGCTCCGTAGTGAAGAGAAAGAAACAGACCGCATGTTCCGAGTCCTTTCTGCGCATGCGCAGGGATTATCCTTTCGTTGAGCCCCCAGTACACTTTTCAGATATCCAGATACACGAGGTGTGCGTGTCTTTTGTGGTATAATTGTCCAGCTTCCGTGTTAACGCGTATGATTGTTAAGATTAATAATCGCTTGGCTTCCTCGTTTCTTTTTCGGTGCGTGTAAGTGTGGAACACTTGGCTGTATAGGAGCATTACGTATACGATTCAATGTCAAGACGTGCTTCCGAAGTAAAACGAGTTAGAGATACACCGTAGAGGGATAAAGAGAGCACTGTTCACCTCGGGCAACGGAATCGGTGGTGTCCTAAGCATAATGTATCCGGAGATGTCGCGCGCCTCGGCGCACCACGATCCGACCTCGCCTAACCTAACTTTTTAACGCCGGTTAACCTAAATTAGCGAGTACTGGAACAGCGCCACTCGGAACGTAAGCGTAGACATTTTACGGAGTAAGAAAACATCGAGTGGACCGTGCAATCGTAGCGAGAACCAACATAGGCTGTGTTGACAACGATGAGACTGCACCCAGTGGAGGTTATGTCGAGTCCTTGGTCCGACCGGTGGCCTGCAGCCTCGTCCATGTTTCTCCGAGTGCCTTGGCAAAGTGGTCGTCGACTTCTCGTTTGAATTGCAAACAGAAAACAGATCGTTAAGATAAACCCTTTTTAGTTCTTAAGCAAAGTTACGAAGCAAGTTTCAAATAATCTCTTCGCAGCAAACCGATTTGCCATTTACCATTTGCATCGATATTATCTTCCACTTCCATATCATTATTACGTATCCTTCATCGAGACTTCGCTCCAACAAATGACAAAGTACATAAATACCGTTGCTCCTTGCGTTCGTGATTAGTATTAATTTAACCTCTCATTTTATGTTCTTTGGTCAGCAATTTACGTAAGTTTAAGATGATATGAAAGGGTCATTCTATACATATCAAATATTGAAGCGTTTATAAAACCTTTTTTCCAAAATAGGGGCATTGAATAATTTGAAACTTCAGCACGTGATTATGAAGGTTCTAAGGAAGGACACGGTGCTCATGAAATTTCACTTAGAAAGAAAGAAATATGTATTCTTGGTTCTAGTCTGGGCTAAATAAAAAAAATTCTTTTATCAGAATTGAAATTTTATAAGCACAACGTTCTTCCTTAAGGCCTCCGTAATTGCACGCAGCAGTTTCCATCAATTCAGTGCATCCAGTTTGGAGAATAATTTTATAAATATTTTTACGTTCTATATACAAAGACTCTTTCATATCACCTTAAGTACTCAGAGACAACTGAACCAGTTAATATTTACTAGGCAATAGAACTACTTTTTAAATATCATCGTTTCATTAGTATGAACGAAAGCAAGAAAAACTCAATTTAAAGGATCTATTTCGGTATGCGATCAGTCCGTTATGCATCCATTGCCGTTATACTTGAAAAACGAAAGAAGCCATTGTTGTTACAGCATAAAAATATTCACCACTGAGGCCAGTCTCCTTGTCAGTGGAGGACGTTGCATTGAAAACGGCCGCGTACTCCTCGAGGCCGAGTGATCTTTTGAAGTGCTCATCTATCGCAGGATCGCTCACAACGCCCGAACTCCTCATTCCAGTTCTCGGACCCGCCGTGGATGTCGCTACGGGCGGCTCTGCGGTATCTTCCACCGTGGCACCTGGAGAAATCAATCATCTTTGTTAAACATGCTAATAATAATAATCAGAGATGAGCGGGGAGATGTTTCCCGCCATTGTCGAAAATGAGGCACGGCTCACCAGCTTTCTGCCTTCAAAGGGGCGAAATGCTCTCTATCGGTAAAGAAGAACGCGTCTGCAGATTTCAAATACAGCACAGTATCTATAGAATTAAGTTATCGCCTTTCTGTTTTTAGCATCAGGGTCAACGTAGGTTGGAAAAAAAAGAGACGGCGAATACCAAATAAAGTTGTAATGTTGTAAAGTTGTACCTGTTTGGGGTGTCGTAGGCACGATTACGCTGGGCCGATTGTGATGGTGCACTCTGGCCGCAGACATGTCGAGGGCCTCGCTTTGGATAGGATCCCTCCTGCGTTCCTTGCGCCACGCGCTGCTCGGCTTTCGGTGCAAACTCGTCGCCTTTGGCCTCTCTTCTGTAAACCGAAGAAAGGGAAAAAATAATACCTCCAATTGGCGTTCAAACTCACAGTAAGTAGAAAATCTATTGGGTTGGTAACTAAATAATTGCGGATTTTGTTGATAGATGCTATTAAAAAATCCCCAATCACTTAGTTGCCAACCCAATATTTCATTGTCACTTGAAGATGAGTTAACCCTTAACGCTCCGACTTTTAATTGTAAATATCGACCGGCAACTCCAACTTATTCTCATCATACTTCGATTTAAGGTGAAGTGAAACCTCCTTCAAATCAGTCGATTCGAATACAACACTTCTTTTTTTAAAGGTATTGGACCAAACTGTCCGAAACTTTGACACATCACTCCTGATCATCTAAGAATTGTCCTGACACATTGAAAATTTGGATTTGTTAACAGAATTTTTTAACTTGGCCCAGACCAGAACCAAAATGGCGTCGAGCTCTTATATTTCGATCAATATACAATTATCGAGGGCTCTGTTATGAGAATCGAAAGTGCCTGGACAATTTTACGACAATTTAGAACACTCTGGTAGTCGATAAACTCTCATTCGAACGGGATAAAGGCAAAAAAAGTGTTGTATGCGCTTCTATGCTAAAACGATGGGAATACGAGGACTCGGAGTAAAACTTTAATTGACCTGAAAATTGCAGATAGCGCAGGGAGTCCCTCTGCAGTCAATTAGAGCCCCAGGAAGCATGAATCCAGACGATTTTTGGAGTTTTACTTCGATTTCTTTATAATTATTGTACGAAAACGACAGGTGGAGTATGCCATTTGGTGCAATACCCAATATAATTCGACACAGCTGTCAATAGAAAAACGAACGTCGGCACCGTAGGCATTTAGAAAAATCTTCTTTATCGATGTCGATCAAGTTCCTCGACGTGTTTCACTTCACCTTAATCGGTGGTGCTTGAGAGGCACACTTGGAGTAGAACGCCGTATATCGGTAGTGCTTGAGAGGCACACTTGGAGCGTTAAAGATTAATACAGGCTGCCGAAAATCCCCATTTAAGGTGATATGAAAGGATAATACCATATATCAAAATGTGAAAATATTTTCTAAAATTCCAAACTGAGTACACCGAATCATTTGAAACTTCAGCACGTGATTATGAAGGCCGTAAAGACGCGATGCATGAAATTTAATAAAAAAAACATGTTTTTTCTATTTATTCTAGACTAAAACCAAGATCCCTTTTCTTTTTGCGAAAAATGAAATTTCACGAACATCACGTTCTTTCGTAGGGCCTCCATAATAACGTGCTGAAGTTTCAAATGACTAGGTGCACCCAGTTTGGAGAAAAGTTTTATTAATATTTTAACGCTTTATGCATATAGAATGACCCTTTCATATCACCTTAAGGAACTTAAGTCTAAGATAGAATACGATTAAAATCTATTTAACAAAATTTCAATCACGTTAAGTGACTGCCCCGTCGATGATAAACCGCGGAGGGCTGGAATAAAATCCATATAATACTCATTTGGAAAAAAAAAAAAAGGAAAAGAAAAGAAACGCGTTCGGCCAAACGACAACCCTGCTAAGGAGGAACCGAAGAGGGGTGAGATGGAACAAGTCGGTTCCCGGTTCCCAGGACGGGGCAGGAAGTGCCTAATAGCCGTGAGAGGATGGTCAGAGGAGGCAAACAGGTTTAGAAAAGGACGAGGGGACCTGGAAGGATGAATGGACCGAAGGAGGATGGAAGGTAGCGAGTCGCGCGAGTCTCAATTAACTTTTTAACTCGCCGTAAGGCCGCTACGGAATTTCAGAGTAGGGGCGCAAAAATCACGCCGAGCGCAATTAAACGAAGCGTTTACACGGCCTAAGGCTCCTTACCTTCGGCCTGGATAAACATTTGCGGGCGCGAGTCACTCTCTGGCTCGAACCTCGAAAAAGGATCGAAAGGAGCGTACCAGGTGATAGATAATCGATCCAACCGAGTCGGCTCAAGATGTTTACAGAGAAGGAGGGTTCACGTCGTGGGTCTTCATTTCGGTTAAGGTGAAATGAAATCCCTCTCAAATCAGTCGTTTTGAATAAGACACTTTCATTTAAGGGTATTGGATCGAACCGAGTCTACCAGGTGATAGATAATCGATCTAACCAAGTCGATTCAAGATGTTTACAGAGAAAGAGGGTTTACGNGGGTCGCGAGATATCTCGTCAAAAGCGTTGATCGGCCAGTATCGGGTCGCGAGATATCTCGTCAAAAGCGTTAACCCTTTGCGGTCGCATTTTCCCAAGATCAAGAGAATTTTGGTGGCTTAGAGTAGACATACGACCGCAAAGGGTTAATCGGCCAGTATTGGGTCGCGAGATAACTCGTCCAAGGTAACGAAAGGGTTAAGGATATTGGATCGAATCGAGTCTACCAGGTGATAGATAATCGATCCAACCAAATCGGCTCAAGATGTTTACAGAGAAAGAGGGTTCACGTCTTGGGTCTTCGTTTCGGTTAAGGTGAAGTGAAACCTCTCTCAAATCAGTCGATTCGAATAAGACCCTTTCTTTTAACCCTTTCGCTACTAACGGTGACTATAGTCACCCAACGCCTGACGCTCGGTAAGAAGTATTTTTTTCATTTGTTAGATATTGCCGTTTGGATTCTTATTATTTATATAGATACAAAACACCCCAAGGTACTTGTATAGCTGTTTATCATCTTGAATTAATCAGACAAATATTACTGAAATACCATAAAGACGATTGGAGACAAAGCGCTCCTAGATCTGCGGATAAACATCCTTTTAGGCTTACTGGTATACCCTTCCCGGCGATTTACCCTAACGCGGAAACAAAACGAAAAAGTGGATTGAGAAAGGGTATCGTTTGTATTAAAAATGGCGTGCAACGACAAACGCATTACCAATGTAAGACATGTGACGTAGGACTTTGGGTATACCCGTGCTTTGAAACATTTCATACAAAATTACGTAATTAAATTACATTTTCTAGTTGCATTATAAATAAACTTATCTTTTATCCGTTATGCATTAGTTTTCTTGCAATTTAAGTAAAGCGTTAATAATTGACCTCACACGTCCCTAGACGTTAAAAGATACGTTCTCTCGGCAGTGAAATTTAAGGGCGTCTTCGATGGGATTGCCCTCTACCGAGGCAGCGCTTCTACGAGCCGATCCGCCGTAGCGAAAAGGTTAAGGTGAAGTGAAACCCCCTTCAAACCAGTCAATTCGAATATAACACTTTTTTTTAAAGGTATTAGACCAAACTATCCGAAACTTGGACACATCGCTCCTGATCATCTAAGAATTGCCCTGACACATTCAAAATTTGGATTTTTCAACAAAATTTTTTAACTCAACCCAGTTAAAAAAGATATTTTATGGGAGGTCAGGACCTTCCACGGGGCTTCCATAATCACGAGGTATCATTTCAATCGATACACCCAGTTCGGGGAAAAGTTTCATAAACCATAGACCCTTCATATTACCATGATCGGAAAAATGTCAAGCAACCCAAGCGAAGTGACATAATTAAAATTGCATATCTCTGTATTAAATGTACCAATCGGTTTCCTTTATAGCTCAAAAAACGCAGAAAAGTTGTTCAATCTCGATAACTTGGGTTCAGTTGACATTCCTCATTCAAGAGGTTCAGAAAATGACATAAATCGAGAAACATTGATCTTTGCAGATAATCATCGCAGATAATGGGTAGGTTAGAGTTTCGCGCCTCTATATATACATTTGGCGCAAAACTCTACCGAGTTTCTTAATAGAACCACGATGCTCTTCCAGAGAAATTCTGTTTCGGTGAGTCGAAAATTTTGTTCCAACGGAAGTAAATCGAGAAACATTGATCTTTACAGATAATCATCGCAGAAAATGGCTGGGTCAGAGTTTCTTAATAGAACCACGAAGCTCTCCGAGAGAAATTCCATTTCAATGAGTCGAAAATTTTGTTCCAACGGAAAAAAATCGAGAAACATTGATCTTTGCAGATAATCATCGCAGATAATGGGTAGGTCAGAGTTTCGTGCCTCTATATATACATTTGGCGTAAAACTCTACCGAGTTTTTTAAGGGGTTACACCACTTTGACGCACTCACAAGTTACGGTTTTTTCAAGAATTTTTTTTTAAGAGTTAAAACGTTTTTATCCAATTGGGTTACAGTAAGGTATTATACTACTATTAAACTCGCTCACTGCGAAAATCGGTGATCGTGCGGTGGGCAGGTGTATAGATGTAAACGCGTTTTTCTTAAAACTGCATTTTAAAAATCGGTGGGCACTCTAGCTCCGCCAATTTTCAATCAATCATCTTGATTCTTTTTTTATTTTATTCGTGATATGTTTATCTAGCGAAATACGTATGGTTTTTTCAATGTATTGATATTCGCGTTTTTTATGCAACATTAATTAACGAAATTTAGGGCAAAATACGTATCTTTCCTTTCGAATCGATGCCATTTTGTGAAAAATGCATATTTTTGAAAACGGCTACGTATTTCGTTAGTTTTTCGGCTACAGAAACTAATTCTTTTTCGTTTATTGTTCTAACTTAAACCTGGACTGAGTTATCGTGCCCACCGCACGATCATCGATTTTCGCAGCGCTCCAGTAAATCGCCTTTCAAGCCGCCATTTTTGTAAACAAGAAAAATACAAAAGTAAGCATTTTTTTGGTTTAATAGTAGTACGATACCTTACTGTACTTTAATTTGGATAAAAAGGTTTTAATTCTTAAAAAAAAATTCTCGAAAAACCGTAATTTTTGGATGGGTCAAAGTGGTGTAACCCCTTAATAGAACCACGATGCTCTTCCAGAGAAATTCTGTTTCGGTGAGACCGAAATTTTGTTCCAACGGATATAAATCGAGAAACATTGATCTTTACGGATGATCCTTGGCTAAATATAGAAGAAGACGCTTCAGCAAGTCGAAGGCAGCTTATTAGCTGTTTTCCAAAACAGTGATAAGGTCCTCCAGCCGATCTTTACGTACCTCTCGACTTGCAGGACGAGCG